TCCTCGCGAAGGCTTCGATTTGACATATTAATTTTCAAAAAATTTACAAATTTAACTGTAGAGAAAAAAGTTATATTGCGAATTATTTTTAATTTCGTAAGATTAATTTGTATTTTATAAAGTTAAAGGTAAATTTACAAAAATTAACGAGTTGGATGATTTTTTTGAACCAATTTCTTTATATTAGAAAACCCATTGATTTTACGTTTTCCTTTGAACTAAAGAACATAAATCATGAATTTTCCAAGAGAAAACACGTTTATAACAACAAATTAGAAGCTAATATTGAATTATCCAAATGTAGAAGTCATCAATCTAGATATGAACTCTACCACTAGCTGACCTAAATATTAACTTTTACATATTATTAGTACACAAGTAAGATATATAATAATGTATATTTATGTACATATAATCAATTAATTATAACGTTTGTGTGGGGGAAGCTATGCTACTAGAATAAGCAAGTACGGCGGGGATATGATTGAAAGAAAGAAAAAACAAAACAAAAATAATAATGAAGCAATCGACGAATTAAGTGCGCAAAATTTGTAATTAATTAATTCATATATTTAATATCTTAAGGTAGTTGAAAGAATTAAGAAATTTATATTACATTACAAAAAGGGATTTTGTCACGTAATGACTTATATAAGACATATTGAGACAGACAACAATTCCATTTGATCTGTCCAAGTGGAAGTCTTAGCTGTTTCTATTTCCTTCAGCATTTTTTCTCTTCTTCTTCATCTTCTTTCGTCAATTAGTGCTTATGGGCGGCTTATATTACTAATTTACTATATTGTATACAAATATTTAGTATTATTGTAAATACGTATGTAGATATATTCCCTCGTACATTCACTTACCAAGATATGTTTTGAATAGCGCCGAATTTAATGACAAATTATACCAACATATATACAAAAAAATTACTTTGCAAAATATACTATTTTTAATCACATTTTTCTCATATAAGGATCCAAACACAAATGGCGAAAAAAAGGATCCAAACACAAATACTCTTTAACAAACAAACAAAAAAAAATTATTGTCAACAAGAGAATCTAATTTTATTGCTACTTTTTTTTTTTGTTAATCTATGATTTACTATATACTGTACATTAAAATATGTTTGTTAAAACATATATATTAACCATATATATATGGCTAGGTGATATGTATAATATGCATACACATGGCTATATATGTCTTATAATATATGGCGAAATCATGAAGAGTGGAGAAACTGAAATTGGTGTTACTTTTTCTATGATCTAATCATTAACTTAAGCATTTAACATTTGACGCCAATACGAATGGTACGACTTTGCTTCTTCGTGTCAAATATTTACCTCCAAGTTATACGATTTTAATTATTTCATCTCAATTTGATAAAACATTTCACTAACTACATATAATACCTTCTTCTTTTACACATACAATGCAGTTAATTACTTAATTATATATATATGTACAAAATAGTGGCCTAATATATAGTGATATAGATATGTGAAGATCAATAATCTCTTCAAATGTGATGTATGTTTCTTGTTTAATGTTTAGTTGGATTAATAGATCACAGTCTAATTTATTAGGATCATGCATCTTATTGAAAAATATACTTTTATATATAATTCGGTAAATCCAAGAGCCACTATATATAATTAGAAATATCCCTAAAAATTATATATCTATACACCGAAGTCAAAAGAATAAAATATAAAGCAAAACGCAGAACGTGTAAACGATTAAATCACTCATAGGTTGACTTATAAAGAAGAATTGTGAGATAAACGTCAAACAGAGGCGACAAGAATGAATAGTTGAGAGCATAAGAGAGTGTGTGTGTACACAAATATTTTACAAACCTAAAAAATTATGACGGTCGAGATCTAATCAATTATATTGTTTGATCGATGGAGTGATGATCATTTTGGACCTATATAACTATTTACTTTTGTCTTATTATCTTCTTACATTTATGAAATTATTGGCTGTGTACTTAATTTAATACGAAAACATGCATAAATTGTAATTTTATTTTCTTAGAATGTTAGTTTTTTTTTTAAAACGTTGGGATGTAACACAAATTCATGAAATGACGTATGTTGTTCAATAATTTTTGTAGTTTTAACATACTGTATATTATAGCAATAAAATTATTTAAAGAAGTAATTAATGAAAGGAACAGTATATATAGATCATTTCGAATCATAATGCATGATATTTGTGTATGTTACACGTTGGGGAAAATAATTATAACCATCATTGAGTGTGTGGTATTACTCTGAAGTAAAGGAATATATCAAAAATCAGCTTTGTTTTTTTTTAACATACCGTATATACATAAAATTAATAATCATGAATAATGGAATTGATATAGTTGATGATGTGATGATGGAAGGCCATGAGAGAGGCCGTGTGGGTTTGTCTCCGCGACAGTCTCTTTCTCTCAGCTTTTCTTTAGTTTCTGTCTAAATCTTCACTGTACAATTTACATGTTCATCTTCTTCTCTATGTTTTGTCCCTTTTCATCACACCACATGCTTACGTCATTATGACGGCATTGCTCTACCTCAATCTAGCTAGCTTCTTCCCTATAACCATAAACCAATTCTAAAAGTTTTTTCATTTCAAATAACATATGGAGGAGGATGGATCCAACGTATATACCAACGGTTTTGGACGGCAAAGACAGTTGAAGAGCATGTCGTGTGACACAATCTGGTATATAATTCTATTAATTGATGGAGACATAACCAATTTAATGACAATTTGGAAACAAGATTATTCCGTTGTCGTCTATCGCTTTTTCTCCTTGAGCAGTAACACTAGCTAGTTTATGTAGTGTGTAGTAGTCAATGTTGCAAGCAATGCAATTGGATTTTGAACTATTTGACTTTGATCGCAAATTAATATGCGTAGATCAAGATGAGTTGATCTAGTGATCTAATAAAAGTTAGAGCTAAGCAATAGATTCAAATTGTCACGAGTTCAAGTTCTATGGGTGCTTTAAATCTCAGATCATTTTGTCAGTACACCTATATATATAATCGTTTATATATATTCGTGATATGTTTCCTAAGAAATATTTTGTAAAACATCTATAGACTTGTGAGTAATTGGAAATCAGGGCAACCCAAACAATGTTAAAAACTAACTATACATAAAATAAAACAGATTTGACAAGTGGTAAATTTCCAAAATGCAAAAATAGACGGTTAAAATGGAGGTCCAAACCGACCGATGTTAAAAAGTTCGCAAATAAATTATGATTAGAAGTGAAATACCACTGAAACTTTCCATTTTTCCCGTAAATGTTGCAAGGTAGAAAATTTGTGATATTCTTCTTCTTTTTCAAATTAAAAGATCACCAACTAAATACAACAGCCGTGGAGCTCTTTTGTCTTTAATGGTAATCGTATTGTAATAAGTAAGTACTCACTCCGTTTCGTTTTAGTTGTCGTTTAAGGTTTTTTCAAACAAATTAAGAAAAACATTAAATTTTCTGTTTTATCCTTTATTAATATATTTTATAAAAATTTCATTGGCCAAAACATTAAAACAGTAAGTAAAAAACTGGAATTTTTACCAAACATTTGCATTGAAAACCTAAAACGACAACTATTATGAAACAAAATTTAATCCTAAAACGACAACTAAACCGAAACGGAAGGAGTAATAATTAGTACTTCGCTTGTAATGTTAGAAAAATGAACAATTAACACCCCCATTTAATAGGCAAATAAACTTACTGGTGCTATTTACGCATATGTAGCTAGCTCCACCAAATCCACATTTTCGATTATTTTATTCTTGTGTTGCAAATAATTATTCGAATATATTTAGTTGTTAAATCGGGTAAACTGAATTCAGTCACTCGAACTGATGCCAGTGTATTAAGAATGTGATGTTTTTAGACAGGAGTACAGGATCATGCAAACTATATAAAATTTTGACGGTTGTAACTTGTAAGAGAAGGTACGTATGTGATATTACTGTTTGACTATAATCCAAATACTTAAGCAAAAATTAACAGCAAAATTGAATATCAATGTGACTTTTTTTTTGTCGGGCTCGTTCAGATTGGAAATGAGAAGATGCGTATAGAGACAAACGTTAGGCAAAAGAAAATGATTAGGGCGACGACCAGTGAATAAAACAAAAGATCTCAAAATCGGATTATACTAATCTTTTAAAAGTTAAGAGAGAAAATTACAGAAATTAACATTTTGTTATCTATAATTAACATTAAGAAAAAAAAAAGATGCCGTAAAGAAAAACAAAAAAAGAAAAGAGAAGAGTCGTATTCAGGCTCTGACTCTGAGACGGAACAAGTGGGGTCAAAGTGTGAAAGCACGCGCGCATGCCACGTGGAGCCCACTCGTTGACTTGCTGTGACTGGGAAAAAATAAACGCTGAAGTTTCATAGCCAAACTCAAAGGCCAAAATATTAAAAAAATAGAAAAGAAACAATAAAAAAATATCTCAGTGGTCTGTGACTATGACTGTGACCGTGACTGTGACCCGCTCCTTCTAGTCCATCCTTGGTCTCTCTTGCTTAAAATAAGTCAAATCCATTTCAACCTCTTCGGGTTTTTTTTTTTTTTTTAATATCTATCTACAAAGTCAATTTGTATTTCCTCATTAGTTAGTGTTTTACTTCTCAATGTGAAAATACTTAAATCTGGATTTATATTATTTTCCTATCAACATACTATCATCACTAGCTAATGAATTGAAAGGTCATTACATTTACATATACTAAATTGCAGGATGTTTATTAATACAAAAATATCACCGTGTATGTCTTAATAAGTTGTCAAGATTTAATGATTTGTGTTAGTATTGTTATTGTGTTATAATTTATGTTTAAACTAACAAGTTTTGTGAGTTGTATGACAAAAAAAATAAAATAATTAGTAGAGATGAGTGATATAATTATATTATAGAGAAATTGTTAAAAATGCCCCTTTTTCAATACCCCTTTTGGAAAGTAGGAGAAATGAAATACTATTATTCTTCTGAAGTGTAACCAATGGAAAAAATCAACAATATTTTTAGTAAACAAAAACAGAAGTTGGGAATGACGTGGGCAAGAGAGTCAGCGAGAGCCACCTGAAAAAATGTCAACCAAACATTAATCGGATGTCTTCACTCTCTTCATAAATAGTTAACGAAAACCCTACCAGAAAAAAATATCCAATTTAAATTGATAAATATTTATAACTATAAGTATCTCTCTCGTGTGGATCCTCATCATTTCATGTAACCACAATCTGAGAAGACACAACAAATTAAGATCCAACATCAATACACACACATATATATATATATAGTGAGAAAAAAAAAAGCTATGGGAGATCATCATGATTTCATCAACTCAGGAAGCTGGTGGAAAGTATCTTCTTCTTCTTCACCATCTTCTTCATCTTCCATGAGAGCAAGCTCTATTGAATCTGGTGGTTCTGCTGTTTTCCATGATCATAAGCTTCATCATCATCATGATCATTCTTTAGCTACTACTGATCATCATCTTCAGATGATTGGTTTAGGGCTTTCTTCACAATCACCTGTTGATCAATGGAACCAATCTCTCTTGTAAGTCTTAATTTTGTTTCTTCTTTTTTTGGGTTCAATCATAAGATTTATGTGTTGTCTTATTTTTCTTTTTCTTTGCGGGGAACAAAAGACGAGGGGATAGTAAAGCGGAGACAAGCTTTGGTGTGATGCTTCAAGAGAATCTCAATTTAGATGCGAGTTCAAACGCAAACGCTAACACAACGTCATCCACATCTTCTTACCAGCTGCAAGAATCTGATTCCTCTCACCAGCACCAAGCTTTGTGGCGAGATCCACAAAGCGATTTCAAACCGCAGATTTTAACGAGTGGTGGTAATCGCGGGTTTTTCTTAGATCATCAATTCAGCCCTCATGGGAGCTCAAGTACCGACAGTAGCACAGTGACATGTCAAGGTTTCGCTGTTGACAACTCTTCCAACACCATGTACGCAGCAACAACGACAACTCCTAATTCATCTTCCGGTATGTTTCATCATCAACAAGCAGGTGGTTTTGGCTCTTCCGATCAACAACAGTCGAGGAATCAGCAGCAGCAATCTCTCGCCTATTCTCAGTTTGGATCATCCACCGGAAACTATGATCAAATGGCGTCAGCGTTACCATCGACTTGGTTTTTAAGATCTTCTCCACCAAAACCACACAGTCCTTTGAGATTCTCTAACAACGCAACGTTTTGGAACCCTGCGGCTTCCGGAAACGCCGGTCCTCCTCCTCCTCATGACGCGTCTTCTAACTTTTTCCCGGCGTTACAACCGCCGCAGATTCACCCGCCGAGTTTTGACGAACAACCAAAGGTATATTTATATAGCTGCACGAGTTCTTTTTTGTTTTTTCATTTATTTATTTATATGTTTATATGTATTGATTGGTCGTAGAATATAACGGAGATTCGAGATTCGAGTAGCAGCGAAGTAAAGAGAGGAGGAGGCCATCAGCAGCCGGCGGCGAAAAGAGCTAAGAGCGAAGCAGCGTCTCCGTCACCAGCTTTCAAGGTATTTTGCTTTATTATTTTTATTTAACAGAAAACAGTATAAGCTTCTTTTTTGGTCTACAAATAAAAGCATCTTTAACTACATTGAAATAAAGCCAGCTTTCTGTGGTTTTGCCAAAAAAAAACTCGAATCTTTCTATTAAACAAAACCGAAACCCTAATTTGACCAATAAAATTAGGTTTATTATCATTTACCACCAAAGTATAAGATAGAATATATATAATGAGTTTTAGAAAACATTCTTTTATATCAAGAAAACAAACATTCTTCCCAAAATTCTTGCATAGATCTCTTTAGTTTTTCTACTTCATATTTTTTTTTGTTTATATAATAAGGATTTTTTATAAATTAAATTTTGCTGAATTAGGTGAGGAAAGAGAAAATGGGGGACAGAATCGCTGCGCTCCAACAATTGGTTTCACCTTTCGGAAAGGTACTATCTCTCTCTCTCTCTCTCTCTCTCATTGTCTGCAATTTTTTGCTTTACCTTTCAGAAAGATGATGAGTGTGTATTAGTATATTTGTATACTGTCATTATTACTTATCATGTTATTATTATTATATCTTTTTTGATTTATTTTATGCTATGTAAAGTCTATTTCTATAGATATTTATGTTGGAGATGAAATATAATTCTTAGATTTTGTTTTACTGAATCTCATGTGGTTTTGTGTCAGACTGATGCAGCCTCAGTGCTCTCTGAAGCCATTGAATACATTAAGTTCTTACACCAACAAGTTTCAGTAAGTTAGCCCATTCCTTAATATACAAACATTTTCTGCTACAGTTTTAGTTAGTTATTGTATTTCTTCTACTGATGTACAACAAACCTGCAAATGATTATAACTCAGGCTCTGAGCAACCCATACATGAAAAGTGGAGCCTCTTTACAACATCAACAGGTAACTTTTATAATTATATAATCTTACGTGCATTATTAAACCATTATATACTGTTATTATTATACCATTGAATAAACGTACGGCTCTCGTTCACATTCTTAATTTATTACATGTATTTAATATGGTTGCTTCATCTTCAAGATTGGACAAAGCATTATTATTCCAAGAAACAATGTAACGAGACGGTTTTTGCAACGAAAAAAGAAATCATTTGCAACTAATTATGTTTTTTCTTTGTTTTCTAATGATGATGCAGAGTGATCATCCCACAGAGCTAGAAGTATCAGAAGAAGCAGATCTTAGAAGTCGAGGTTTATGCTTAGTGCCAGTTTCAAGCACATTTCCAGTGACACACGATACTACTGTAGATTTCTGGACTCCTACATTTGGTGGGACTTTTAGATAGATATATAGACGAAAAATCGTATATTAGATGTTGGTTGACGTACGTATCTTTTTAACTTATAATATATACGTTGATTGCTGATAAGAATCACCGCATTTTTAAACGAAGAGGAAGATAAGTTAATGGACAAATGAAACTTGCTGTCCATTTATATTTCTTATACATAGAACTAGTTAAAGATAATGTGTAATTGAAGAACCATGCATAGCAATATAAGAGCTATTGAGATTTGACATGTAATTTTTTTACAAGATCAATTCCAAACATATATCTAAAGGGAACGTTTTTTGGGGGTTGCAATAGTATGTATAAAAGATAGATGTTAAGTTATTCGTTAGAGAAGAATGTAAGGATCTCTAATGCAAGTATTGTCTTCATTGATTCAGAGAAGGAGAAAGATGATTTAATTATGGAGAAAAGGAGCTTTTGTTTCTTCCTTTGTTTAGCTATTCTATTTTTTGAAAGGGAATAATTAGATTCCACGAATAAGAGGGAGTAATGTGTTGATATGCATATTTTGATTGGACAAGAGGAAAATAATCTTGGGACAGATATATTTTTATAACTTTTGGAATAATGTTAGTGGAAGTAAGATATGGCCCACAAAAGTTTTTATTTTTCTATCAGAAAGGTTCTTTATTGAACATTTTAAAAGAAAAAAAAAAAGCATTTCATGCTTCCCAAAAATCCCTCTCCCTACATTTTCATTAAACTGAATTATTGTTTAAAGGGATATGGGATTTTCAAAAGAGAATAGTTCTATATGGAGAAAATTGGATGAAAAAAATCGGCTCTGCTATTTTGTTGTCAACTACTCTAGTGGATTTAGAGCACTTTTTAACTTCTTATATAGAAATTTGAACCAACACAGTGAGATCTAGTGACTTGAAGTTAGATCACTGACCTATCAATTCCAGTTTGATTTTGATATATTTTTTGTCAGTAAAAAATATGGAAAATTTCTAAAATGAGATTATTGAAAAAGGTGACTTCTTTTGTAAGTATTGTTATTGAGATTCTCATTTAAGAATACCATCAACATGAAATTACCACTAGTTCATGCATAAGTTTACATTAATATACTTACATATCTATTAGTTTTCCATTTAGTAAATAAAAAGTTTATAGAGGGACACATATTTTAGTCACAAAATATAAAAAGATAATCCTAAACACACATTAATTAAATAATAAAATTGAACAAAAATATTTTTAGCATGCTAGAAGAACAAACAAACCTTTGCAGTTTGGATCCGTAGCAACCGATCCAAATACCGTAAACTAAAGTTTTACATATGAAGAAGACAATCACTTCACCATTGTTCATATTTCATAAGCATTCATATAATCACATATACAGTACATCCACTTATGTTTTTATTTCGAAAATCATCAAATGATATCCTCATACTTTGCAATATTCGTGTTGAACAAGAGCATGTAAAACCCACATTGGCCATAGTATCCATGCATATGGGTCAATCAAATAGTCTTGGGTCTATTGGGTATATACAAACAATAATGGGCCGTTCAATATTCTTCTTGTGTATCCAATAAATATCATTATCCTTAATTTAGAATATTTTCAAAATTCACCCAACAAAAAACCGGTTAACGAAATTTCACCAAATTGACACAACTTTTGCTTTATTCCAATTCTCTCTAAAGAGAAAGAAACCCCAAAACCTGAGGGCAATCAATAAGAAAGGAATTTAGAAAGACGACGACGTTCTCATCATCCATCCGTACATTGTTCTTAAATTGTAACGGAGACGTGTGATATCAACACTCAACCAACACCTTTCTTTCTCTCCGTCGTCGAGAGTTTCGCCGATTTCGCAAAACCCTATGGAGCTCCTCCGATCCAACTTGTCTAGGGTTCAGATCCCTGAACCTACTCATCGCATCTACAAGCATGAGTGTTGCATCTCCTTCGATACTCCGGTAAAACCTCTCTCTCACTTCGTTTTCGACTACTCTCGACTGTTCTCTTTTGTTTCTTGGGGTTTTGATGATTTCGCGATGATGATTTTCAGAGATCCGAAGGAGGATTGTTCGTAGATATGAATAGTTTTCTTGCTTTTGGGAAGGATTATGTTTCTTGGAATTATGAGAAGACTGGAAACCCTGTTTATCTGCATATTAAGCAGACCACCAAGTCTATTCCTGAGGATCGCCCTCTCAAGAAACCGACTCTGCTCGCTATAGGTATATTCAATGATGATATCAATGCCGTATCTATACTGGTTTTTTGAACATAGAGTAGAGAGGTTGATTTTGAACTGTTTCAATATTGCAGGAGTTGATGGAGGATTTGATAACAATGAGCCTGAGTACGAGGAGTCGTATAGCATAGTCATTCTTCCGGATTTTGTGTCACTTCCGTTTCCTTCTGTTGAACTACCAGAGAAGGTGTTTGTTAGCAATATGTTGTTGATTTTAGGTGTGTTATCAGAGAGGGTTTATGGCAAACACATTGCATGTATTTAGCTTTTTTGTAATTTGTTATTGCAGGTGAGGATTGCTGTCGATACTGTAGTGAATGCCGTAGGTGCTGAGCGGAAAGAGCAAGTTGCAGCTTGGACAGCTGAGAAAAAGTTAGTTAGTGAACATGCATTGACACTGCAGCAAATCAAGAGTGGCATTGTCATTCCTCCCTCTGGTTGGAAATGTGCCAAGTGTGATAAGACGGAGAATCTCTGGCTTAATCTTACCGATGGAATGATTCTCTGTGGAAGAAAAAACTGGGATGGAACTGGTGGAAACAACCATGCGGTTGAGCACTACAAAGAGACAGCCTACCCTCTTGCTGTAAAGCTTGGAACTATCACAGCTGACTTAGAAGCAGCAGGTAATGTTGTCTTGTTTCCTAAATATAGTTTTTAGTCGTCTCTGTTGTGGATTTCTTTATTTTAACTTCTGAGAAATGTAAAGGCTTGTGATATCCTGGGATTGGAATTGGCCTTTTTGAAAAGTTTTTAGGTACTCTTGAGTCTTAAGCCGCATTACATATATGCTCAAAAATACCAATCTCTGCCCTTAAGGCAAAGTCATGTGGGTGATACCTTTTTAAGTAATGTCATGATTCATTGCATGTGGCTCTAACTTTCAGAGCTTTGTTGTTGTAAATTTCCTACCCCATACCTTATCAAAAAAAAAAAAAATGTTGAATCCGTAATCATAGAACCACATTAGTCACTGGACTTCACTTTTGTGTATGGCTAATGTCAGTTGATAGTTGTCTTTTGGGCTGGAGAAGGGGGACTTCCTGCATCACTTTGTTTTTTTTTTTATGTTGATACATGTGGATTATCATGTTCTTTGGATGGGTTTTGATTTCTTCAGCACTTACCATTGCAAAAACTTTTGGCAGCTCAGATGTTTATTCCTATCCGGAAGATGACAGTGTTTTGGACCCGCTCCTGGCTGAGCATCTGGCCCATTTTGGAATTGACTTTTCGTCGATGCAGAAGGTTAGTAATGAATTTCGTATACTGCATTTTTATCAGAGACTCAAGCTTAGGTATTCCAATAGTGCTATGTTTGTGTAGATACCCTTCCTGGGTTGCATTGGCACGTGCTGAGTAGTGTACTAGAAATCTTATGTCTGGAATTCATTTCTTTCTTAAGTGCTATGGTTTGTAGAGATACCCTTACTGGGTCGCATTGCTCTTGTGTTCATTTCTTTCTTCAGTATCAGTTGCCACGAAACTTATGTCTTGTGTACAAATGTGGAATATGTATGAGGCTTTACGTTACTTTACCAAGAGCAAGTAGACTCACATCAGTGTTATTGCTTACTTTTTTATAACTGCGATCAAAAAGATGCACAGTGCACTTGGAGAATGTAATTTCAGGTTGTTTTGAGACAATAATTCCCATTCACGCGTTCAGTCTATTTACTTGTATTTCTTGCGTCAGGTTCAAACATTTTTCCTTGCTGCATGTACTGCTTCATTTCCCAAAGCTTAGGTTTTATAGGTCACCTGTATTTGTTTTCCAATTTGTACTGCCTTGATCATCATCTTTGCTAGAAGATATCCTGTACCGATAAAACAGCTTTTATCTGATTAATGTTAAGTTTCTTGGAATGTTTGCTACAATCTCTACAGACTGAAATGACAACTGCCGAAAGAGAACTTGATCAAAATACAAATTTTGATTGGAACCGTATACAAGAGAGTGGAAAAGAATTGGTACCAGTTTTTGGACCTGGATATACCGGACTTGTTAATCTTGGGAACAGGTACTCTAATGGAAAAATTGTCAGGGATTTTGTTTCCCTGTTGATGTCTTATGCCCATTTCTTTTCTTTTGCCAGTTGCTACTTGGCAGCTACGATGCAGATTGTTTTCTCTAACCATTCATTTATTTCAAGGTAGATGCCATTGCCCATATTTCTTTCACTTGTATAACTTAAATCAAAACAAACCTTTTGCTGTTTGAATCAACTGTAGTAACTTTTGGTTCTGAGATTGTGGCAGATACTTTTCACATCAGAGCTTAAAGATGGCTTTTGAGATGGCTCCTGCTGATCCAACTTTGGACCTCAATATGCAATTGTGAGTTATTGTTAGAACAAATGTTACTATGTTTATACTCTCTCTGGACTTTCTGAAATCATGTGATTGAACTCTTGACATCGTAATGATGAAAGGGTTATGAGATTATATTTGTGAATACTCTGTATCTGCATGATACGTGCTTTAGTTTCTGATTTCTCTCTGTTTGGTTTAATATTCTGTGCACTTTTTTTTCTAATCTGATTTCCATGAGGAACAATTGCATGATAATTTTCAGATAATTTTCATATTTATTTCATACTCCTTGCACTGTTGGTTACAGAACAAAGCTTGGACATGGTTTACTATCTGGGAAGTACTCTATTCCTGCAACTCAGGTATAACTATATCAGGAATATTTTTTGCTTGCATACATATATATTATCTAAACCACCTTTTAGGGCCTTGGTAGATTGATTTTGATTTTTCTGATTGCAGAAGGATGCTACAACTGGAGATGCTGTAAGATTCTTATTCTATATGATTATTAAATTCCTTATTGATCTTTCAATGGAAACGTCGATTGATCAAGAGCTTTATAAGCACATCAATCTTATTATCCTAGTGATTTTTTTTCCGGGTTCCTATAGTTAGTTCCTCGTCTTTAGTCATTTCTACTCTTTAGAGGCTTTCCTTTTTGGTACGACTTGTGGTAAATAAAAACAGACCAGCACATCTAGGCAACAAATGGTTGAAGTCCTGTCTTTAACTTTTGAATAAATATATGTATGCGGATGGCCACAATTTTTTATTTTGCATACCCCTTGTGTTGATTTCTGATGACTTTACATATTGTTTCTTTCTTTAATCGATAATAGAGACAAGAAGGAATACCTCCTCGCATGTTCAAAAACGTAATTGCTGCGAGCCACGCAGAATTCTCTTCTATGAGACAGCAGGTGAAAACCATGTCTTTTTTAATGTTCAGAGTTTTGTTTATTTTCTAACTTGTATTTGAACGATACTCCTTTTAGGCATCAGTAAACGAAATTATTTTATGTTTTCACTCTATCACCATTCTGTCTCGTAGGATGCGCTCGAGTTTTTTCTCCATTTGGTAGGCAAGGTTGAGCGTGCTAGCAACACGACACCAGATTTAGATCCCTCGAGGAGCTTCAAGTTTGGAATAGAAGAGAAGATCCTTTGTCCATCTGGAAAGGTTGGATATAATAAGAGGGAAGACTGTATTCTTTCTTTGAACATTCCGCTGCATGAGGCAACTAATAAAGGTATATCCTGTTCGTCTGTCTATGTTCCTCTTCCTTTATTGTTTGGCGTGTTTCTTAATTTTGTTGTCTTTGTTTTGTTTAATGTTTGGTGATCAAGATGAATTAGAAGCCTTTAACAAGCAGAAAGCAGGAAAAGGATTGGAAGAAAATGATATGTGAGTTAATTGACTCAAGTTTAAATATGTTTCATAGTTTCGCTGCTTATCTAAGATATTTATTTTCAGCAGGTCAAGTGATGAAATAGTACGCCCACGAGTTCCTTTAGAAGCTTGTCTAGCAAATTTTGCATCATCAGAGGCGATTGATGACTACTACAGCTCTGCTCTGAAGGGGAGGACAACAGCTATCAAGTATGATATTTTTCTTACTGAGTAAATTCTAGTGCAACCAGGACTAGAATGAAAGTAAGGTTTTAAGGGTGAACTTTTGGTTTCCATTTTATGCAGGACAACTGGTTTGACATCTTTCCCAGATTATTTGGTCTTGCACATGCGGAAGTTTGTTATGGAGGCAGGCTGGGTGCCAAAAAAACTTGGTCTCTTTCTGAAACACTGATCCTTATAATGTTCCCCTACTGGCCCTGTACATAAATACTTATTATATTTTTTTTTGATTTGCTGAGGCAGATGTATACATTGATGTTCCGGATGTTATTGATATCAGCCACATGCGTAGCAAAGGACTCCAACCTGGGGAGGAACTGTTGCCAGATGGCGGTATGTTGTTATATTTATTACAAGAATGGTGTTTCATAATTCACATAAATAATGATTGACTTAATTTATTGATTGTTTCAAACTCGTGCTACTTTTTCTGGTGTCATGACTCTTAGCCTTTTGAATTAGCAGTCAGTTTACTAATCATTAAAAAGTATCAGCATACCTTAAACGGTTTCTTTATCAGGGCAGTAACTTTCTAAGAAGGAAGTCTGTGTATTGTTGCATGTTGTGTTGTGCACCATGGTTGTGTTGAATGATCCTTCATCACCAAAGCACTTAAATACATTTTCAAACAGATACTCTTACCATTCTGCTGGACTCTTTATGCACTCAGGAGTTTTCCTTCTCTTAGACTGCATTCACTAGCTACTTGGTTGTTTTTTTGGTTATTTGACTATGTTTTTTTTTTATGCATGTCAATATGTCATAGTTGTTTTAGTGTCTTGGTGCTCTAGCTTCTTTATTTCATTGTCCACTCTCTCCATTCATTTATCTATTGTTAGATAAACAAAACTTGTTATTCTCCCTATAATTCTGTTGGCTATTGGATTTTTCTGTATACAGTTCCAGAAGAAGTGATTGAATCAGCGCAGCCTGTGGCAAATGAGGAGATAGTTGCACAACTTGTCTCAATGGGATTTAGCCAGCTTCATTGCCAGAAAGCTGCCATAAATACTTCCAATGCTGGGGTTGAAGAGGCAATGAACTGGTTACTTTCTCACATGGATGATCCAGGTAATTGAATAGTTCCACAAGTCTGTAGTTGAGGCTCAACTTCTCTCACAAAACTAAATTATGATTCGAGACCAATGACTAATATGATGAGGCATTATGTTTTATAGACATTGATGCACCGATCTCCCACCAGACATCTGACGTTGATCAATCAAGCCTTGATGCCTTACTCTCTTTTGGTTTTGCTGAAGATGTTGCTCGAAAGGCACTAAAGGCCTCGGTATAACACTTTCGAGAAAATTAGTTGCATTTCTGCGAGGCTGTTTTTTCTTTACTCAATTTCCGAAATCATTTTTTTTTTCTTTAATCAGGGAGGAGATATAGAGAAAGCAACAGATTGGATATTCAACAACCCTAATGCATCTGTTTCAGACATGGATGTTTCCTCTAGCAATTCAGCGCAGACTCCGGCTCAAAGTGGATTACCAGATGGAGGAGGGAGTTAGTTTCTTAAACCCTCTTTTGAGTTTTTCTATCTCATATTGCAAAACAAATCTTAGTGTATTTTTTCCACAAAACAATATGAGAAAAGCTCTAACTCAAGATTGATCTTAAACGCAGAATACAAGCTGTTTGGAATAGTAAGTCACATGGGAACATCAGTGCACTGTGGTCACTACGTGGCGCACATATTGAAAGAAGGTCGTTGGGTTATTTTCAATGACGACAAAGTTGGTATCTCGACTGATCCTCCTAAAGACATGGGTTATGTCTACTTCTTTCAGCGGCTTGATTGATTCGATGGAGCCAGTCACAAAGACAAAAAAAAACTAATCCCTTTTTTTTTTTCATAGAAACTTTTAAGGTCGATAGAGTTTTTAAGATTTGGATTGAGGTGACCCATGGGACTTGTTTCGGTTCCAAAATCTTACTTGTGGATTAGTAAATTTGGTTCACTATTGATGATTGTATCCTGTGGAACTTCTTCGCAAATTTTAAGACCCGTTTAAAAACAAAACATCATTGCTCATCTTCTTCTGTTTGTTTTAATTCTTTGATATGTTTTTCATGAGCACAGAATCAGAGAAAAGTGTTGAATTTGTGAAATAAATGAGTGAGTTCTTTTAATATCTCCCGGTTTAATATGAATGTTGTACCGAAACCTAATAACCGATCCGTCGCGCCGGAGAAATAAAGCATCTTGACTAATTATGATCATATAAATTATTAATAGAAATAATATATGGGATACAACGGTGACGGAGGAGCTCTCTTCTTAATCGAGAGGTTTAAGGATCAGACTGATGTGATTTGTTTAACAGCAGACACGAATTATCTCTTCTCTCAAAACACGTGTTCTTCAAAATTGATCATATTATTCTCGATTTCCACAAACTATAGTTGAAAATAAATCCGAGTCATGAAATTGTTTCCTAATTTGGGAGTTTTTATTGCGTTTAATCGGAATCTCTTGCCGTTATCTACTACTTATCAGGTAACTAAAAGATGCTCTTCTTTACTGTTTTCTGATTTCAGAATATATATGCTCGAAGCGTTACTAAGGTTTTAGGGATTTTGTGGTGAAAAACGGAAATCATATAGAATTGAATTTGATGTGAATTTTGGTGATTTTGTGTTGATCTTATGATGTGATGATATTAACTTAAGTTTTGTTGGATTTGTTGCTTTTATTATAAACATTAAAGACTCATTTTTTTGAATTTTCCTTTCAAAGGGTAATCAAAGAGGCACTACAAGTTTTATGGATCATTGTGATTGAAGAGAGTTGGTAAAATCAGCAAGCTTTGTCACAGGTTGGTTTCAGGATCTTCTTCTTTTTTGTTGTTATTTTGCTCATGAGATTGCCTCTTTCTTCCTCTCTTTGCATATGTTGTTTGTCTATGATAATTTCATTGAGATTGAACAAGTTGATATTTAGGTAAATTTCGAAATTAGGCATTGTTTGCAAAGTTTGGTAGATTGCAATGAACATAGAAGAATGTACAGCAACAAGAAATATTCACACAGTGAATGTTTTTTAGAGTTCTGCTATACCTCTTGAAAGAAGTTCCTTAGCTATATTTCTCGTTTGATGGTCTTTTGGAGTTCTGAGTTTAGACAATATAATCTATATTCCCGAGATAAATGTTTGTTTTTTTCTTTGAAGTTGTTGTATAAAACCGTCTTCTGCTCAAGGACTGCTTGTGTATGTCTAAATAGAATGATTATCATCTGTTCTGCATCGGTGCAGAGTGGAGTTTGCAGCTCCATATGAGATCAAAGAAACTTCCTTTCCCTTAGATCTCCCGAAAAACCCTCCCTTCTGACTCAAATAAATGGTGTTTGGGCTGAAATTTTTCATCAGGTGTGTATGGACTGTGATTAGCCATCTAACATAGAAACAATTAGTTTCCTATGCTTCCATTTCTTTCAACTTGTTCGCCATGTTTGCACTTGAGATGCGCATTTTGCTAGTCATTGTTCCACTACATAGAATCTGCATTTGGGAAATAGCACAATCAAGAGCTCACCCCGAAAACTTGAATTTGTTTTCCTTTACTCTGTTTATCAATAGGTAACCTCTATACGTATATATGTATTTAAGTTTCTAGAACTCAAAATTGTGTATGTATATGAATGCTGACATCAATGCACTTTGAGTTCTTTGCAGAGAGGGTTCAATTATAAATATTTATGTACACTATTTCCCAGTAAATCATAACTCGATATGTACCGTTGACGAGAGTATCTTTTTGGGCTGTGTTTAAATAAATTGATAGGCATGTCGGCTAGTCAAATCTTAGATTTTTATATAGCAAGTTACTTATGGTATGAGATTATTGTACGTTGACGGCATATATGAGAAATATTTTTGCCAAGTTATCTGTGTTATACGACTAAATTTTACTATGTTTGTAGATTTTGATCGTTGTAGGAAAAACATATAAAAGCCAGCAAGAGGTCTCGATGATGTCGCCTATTTTCCTCCTGTTATCAGATCTGAAATTGCAACCGGAGTTCTGCATTCATAAATTGTCTATCAATTCATTTGTTTCCTTTTGGTTAGGCTTCTTTCATGATCATTTATTACGGTTCCAATTTCGTGTTGATATGTAACACGATTGCGAAACAGTTTTTGATTTCGTGGTAATGGATTTTGTTTCTGTTAGAAATCCTTGATTCCGTGTAGGTGCCTAATGTTTTCTCTTTTCGATCTGTCTTCGTAACTATCGCCTTGATTATTCCGATCAATGTTTCTAGGTACTTTAGATTTTGTTTCCGTAACAAATCCTTGGTTTCGTGTAGGTGCATAATGTTTTCTCTTTTCGATCTATCTTCGTAACTATCGCCTTGATTATTCTGATCAATGTTTCTAGGTACTTTAGATTTTGTATCCTTCACAATTTGTTCTCAGGTTCAATTCGGTGTTGATCTCGTGTATCTATATATTTAAAATGAAACATGCTGATGGAAGTTCTCTCCTAGATGAAAGATAATTTTGATGCATTTCCATTTCATTTTCAAACCCTTTTGCTTGGTTCTAATAGGCGCAGCTGTCGTTGTGGTCTTTATCTGAAGGGCGCTGTGTTTGTGTATGATTAGTTAGCAGTTGTGTGCTCGTTACAGTCACATAAATACACATTCATGTTGCAGAAATATATGTGCTTGAAGCCTTGAATCCCTTTTATGTGCTAACTGACGTTTTTGTTGATGCAGAACCTTAGCAACAGAAAGAAATCAGAAAATGGTCGAAACTTGTGGTCAGCATATCAAGCGGAGGAGAACAGAGACACAACCTCTCAAGCTATCTAGAGCAGAGAGATGGAATGTCGTAGATGAAGAGGATGTCTTTATGGACATCCTATCTCGGGTCTCTGTCAAATCTATCTGGTCTCTGAAGACACTTAGTAAGCACTGGCATGGTTCAATAAGTACTACATACTTTTGTAAGCTGCAGTTAGCGCACTCGAGGAAGAATCCCTCATTCATAGTCTGTCCTACTCTGGAGACATCAATGAAGTTGTATTCAATGGATTCAAGGAGTTTTGAACTTTCCCCCCTCAACACTATTGATCCCTCTGAGAGAAGCCACGGGGTATCCCTATACATGATATCATCTTTTAACGGACTCATCTGTTGCGTTAATGTGATTTTTGACGAAGACGTAGAAAGCAAGTTCTTTGATCTGCAGATATGGATATGCAACCCTTGTACGGGGGAGACTCTCCTTCTTCCCCAAGGGAGACCCTCGTTTGAGTGTGAGCCATGTGTTGGAGTGGCTTATAGCTCCGACACAAGTGACTATAGAATTTTCCGTATATTCTGCACTGGAAAGAAAATTCCTGAAGAAAGGGAATCTGTGGAGGGATATTATGTTCGGGAAGGTTACGCCTATGAATGTGAGATGTTTTCTTCTAGCACTGGTTCTTGGAAAAACATTGGCCTTGTGCCTTGTGTTCCTATGGATTGTGGTCTTAGGCCATACAAAACTGGTCATATTTGTGTAGAAGGAAAAGTTTATTGGCTGGTTTCATTAGATGAGCCAGGTAAGATCCTCTCAGTAAATTTGGAAGGGAGATTCAAGGTTATAAACTTGCCAGAATATGAAGCTAATCAAAAGGGTGAAGACAAGATCACAGAGGGTACCCATCTGATAAATCTGAAAGGATCTCTCGCATTACTTGTTCTACATCCAGGCTACATGGATATATGGCTTTTGAAAGACAACGGCGAGACATATAGTTGGGTGCCCGTGCCTTTATTGAAATATCATATTCGTATTAAAGATGATGAATTGGTTTTAACTGTAACTTCATTAAAGAACAAGATCATATGTGTGACTGAGACACACTGGCATATTTATAATGTGGATACTGGAAAGTGGAAGAAGATAAGGGGACCTCGTACTGGATTTGGGTATCCTGCTGTGTTCCCATTCACCGAGAGCATTCTTCCATGTAAGTTTTTATTATATATGTATGGATACAATGTTTCTTCCTTTGTTTGCTTTCTAATCCACTTTTATCTGTTGATTGCTGAATTAGGTAAAGGTGGTGTGAAGCTGTAGAAGAAAACAACAAGAGTATCGATGTTCTCTGATGCCATGCGGAGAATGCTGAATCTGAGAGGTTGGGTGTTAAAACTTTCTGGTTTGTGTTGGGTTTCGTTTTCGTTTTGAACTTGGTTTATGCTGTTTCTGTTTTCAAGACTTGATTGACAGTAGTAATAAGCTGTGGGTGCTTTGTCTCTGAACAGAGTTTTATTAAATGTTGTCAAAACCATTAATGTTCTTCTGCTTTGATTCTCTGTTCTTGTTGCTAATTTTGAGTTCTGCTTAGCTTTTTTTTTCCCTCTTCTTCTATTACGACCATTGCCTTATATTATATATTAAGCCGGTTGGTTTATTTTAATAAACGAAGAGTATGATGTAACTATACTAATTCACACAGCTATGTAAAATGTTAAACTACCGAGTTCATGAACTTGAAGAAAATTTCCATACAATATTAGTCAAAGATTCATGAACTTTAAGTAGTTTACAATTTTACCTAGGTGCATGAACTGATTTATTTTTGACAAATATATTTCCTTTTATTCATGCCACCTATTATGTTTAAAACTTTTGAATACATGAATCTTGACTAAATTTAACCTATGTTTGGAAACTAAGTAATTCTAAGGTGAATATAAATAGGTGCATGAATTTATTTATTTTATAAAAATTATATGTTCTTATAAAAATCTCATTAAAGTTAATGGATTCCACTATAACTTTCCTATGTATATATGTATATGAAATCACTGTCTCAAGAAAGACACAAATTCCATGTACATCTTAAACTTAAGAGCACAATTTTTTTGTTGTTGCCTTCCTTTCAAACCCATATATCCATGTAGCCTGGATGTAGAACAAGCAATGCGAGAGGTCCTTACAGATTTATCAAATGGGTAGCCTCTGTGATCTGGTCTTCATCTTTTAGACCATCTAGATACTCAGACAAGTTTATAACCTCGACATCTTTTTTTCAAATCTACCGAGAAGATCTCACTTGGCTCGTTTAAAGAAACCAAACAGTATATTTTTCCTCCTATAATATTTTTGTAAGAGGAGAGATATACTGTGTGGTTTCTTTGAACGATCTTGGTGAAATCCTCTATGTGGATATGGAAAAAATGTTCGAAGTTATGAATTGTTGCCTCAGTATCCAGATCATCTAAGTGATGAAGACCGGATAACAGAGACTACCTATCTGATTAATCTGGAAGGATCTCTATCAATGGTTGTTCTACAATAAGATTACATGGATATATGGGTATGGAAAGAAGACTGCAAGCAATCTAGTACTTGTATCCAAAGATGATTTCCCATTTCATTTTGTTTACAGGTTTAAGATGTTCTGGTTTGCTTTATGTTGTAATCTTTTATTTTTCAACTTTGTAAGACATTATTGATTGTAACAAGATATGTGTGCTTTACCTTTGTGTACGAACCAAATTCTTTTTTTTTTCACTATCGATCATCAGAGTCATCCTTGAGCTGAGACCTGAGAAGCAAGCAACTTAAACGGCGACGTTTTATGAGTTTTGTTGGATCCAAACACTGGCCCATCTTCAAGTCGCTAAGAAGGCCAATAATATATCATAAGCCCATATTGTCAATAGATTCGTTCTAAATATATATTTTCATTAGCAGAGAAGAAACTGTTGATTGTAAGTTTTTGAAATGGTAATAAAATATTTAATCTCGGGATACACTGAGATTGGAGATCTTCTAATTTAATTAGTTTTTGAGATCGAAAAGTGGGATAATTCGTTATGGTTAACACTCAAAACTCAAAAGAGAAGAACACGACTTGTTTCTTCTTCTCACAACACGTGTTCTTCAAATTCGCTCGTATTATTCTCGATTCCCAAAAAAAAAAAAAAAAATTATAAAATCCCGATATCAGAATCATGAAATTGTTTCCTGATTTGGGGGTTTTAATTGCGTATAATCGGAATCTCTTGCCGTTATCTTCGAATACTTATGAGGTAACTAAACGATGTTCTTCTTTACCATTTTTGATTTCGGAATCCATGTTTAAGCGTTACTAAGGTTTGAGTGATTTATTGGTACGGAAACCATATAGAGCTTGAATTTTGGTAATCTTAATTGGGTTTATTTATTTATTTATTTTTTTTTTTGTTGGATTTGTTGGTTTTTCATAAAAATTGAATTTTCCTTCCAAAGAGGCACGACTAATTTCATGGATCAATGTGACTGAGAGTTGGTGAATCAGCAAGCTTGGTTTCAGAATCTTCTTTTGCTTTTGGTCATTGCATCTTTCTCTTTCTTTGGAGTTCTGTTATACCTCTTTGCTGAAATTCTTGTGTGGTGGTCTTTAGAAGTTTTGAATTTTACAAGTTTCGTGTGCTCAAGACTGAATGTAGTTGTATGTCTAAGATAGAATGACTATTGTCTGTTGTACATGGGTGCTTAGTGGAGTTTGCAGCTCCATTTGAGATCAAACTGACTCTTTCCCTTTGATTCCCCGGAAAACCTTCCCTTCTGAATTTATATACACAATTCTCATCAGATTAGCCATCTAACTTGGGAACAATTGGTTTCCTCATGTTTGCTTGAGATGCGGATTTGTTTGAGCTATTTATTGTTACACTACATACAATCTGCATTTTCTGATAAGTGCATTTTGGGAAATAACACATTTTACAACTCAATTTCTTCCGAAAAGTTTATTCTGTTCGTTTTGTCTCTGTTCATTAATATGTAACCTGTATTAAGTATCTAGATATTCATGCTCAAATTTGTGAGTATATATGAATGCTCACAGTGATGAACTTTAACTTCTTTGCAGATTTACTGTAAAGTCAGTGCATGTTTTGATTAGTACATTATTTCTTATATAAAAAAACTGTCGATATGTATGTTAACAAGAGTAAATCTTTTTGCACTGTGTCTAAATAGACTTGGAGGCGTGCTGTCTAGTCAAATTTCTTATACCAAGTTATATAGTAAGTTAATTATGGTATGAGACTATTGTACGTTGACGGTGTATATGAGAAATGTTTTAATCAAGTTATTCGTGGTATGCGACTAAATTTTACTATGCTGCTAGATTTTGATTCATGATTTATGACTAAATGTTATACATAATTGTTATTAGCAGCGAGATGAGATTCTTACATATGTCCCTTTGTAATTAGATGAAAAGTGGTAGAAAAGTGATAGAAGCTATTATATATAAAGAGTTGGTCTCACCCTTTCGATTCATCTATCCTACCCTAGCCGTCACGCGTGAAGATCGAATTGTGAGTATCTTCCGCCGATCGAGAAAGTTCTGATTTCCGATCATGCAAAACTTCTGAAAATCTTGTTTGTCATAGCAGATCTGAGTTCCAACCTGAGTTCTGCATTCATAACCCATCAGTTTGTTGATTTGTTGCCTTTTGGTTAGGCTTTTGCATAGTCATTTAATACAGTTCCGATTCTGTGTAGATACGATTGTGGAACAGTTTTTTTGTTTCTTGGTAATGGATTTTGTTTCGGTGCATAATGTTTTCCCTGTTTCGATCTGTCCTCGTAACTATCGCTTTGATTATTCTGGTCAATGTTTCTAGGTACTTTAGATTTTGTATCCTTCACAATTTTTTCTCTGGTTCAATTCAGTGTTGATCTCGTTTCTATGGTACATGCAGATGGAGGTACTCTTCTAGATGAAAGATAATTTTGATGCATTTTTCTTTCATTTTCAAACCCTTTTGCTTGGTTCTGATGGGTGCATGTGTGTCTTAGGAGTATTTTTGGTCTTTATCTTAAAGGGTGCTGATGTGTTTATGTATTAGTAGTTAGCAGCTGTATGATCCTTTGGGTTGTAGCTCGTTACAGTCACATAAATACGCATTCATGTTGCAGAAATATCTGTGATTGAATCCCTTTTATGCGCTAACCGTTTTTTGTTTTTGATGCAGAGCCTTAGCAACAGAAAGCAAACAGAAAATGGTCAAAACTCGTGCTCAGAGTATCAAGCGGATGAGTGTTGTAGATGCACTTTGCATCCGGTCTCAGATCTCAGTCAAATCTACCCGGTATTGTAAGACAGTTAGTAAGCACCTTGCAAAGCTACAGTTAGCAGAATCTGGAAAGAATTCATCATTGGTAGTCTGTCCTGCTATGGGGAAAACAATGAAGTTGTATTCGATGGATGCAAGGAGATGTAAACTTTCCCTCCTCAGTACTATTGATCCATCTCAAAGAAGCCCTGAGGAGTTCATGTACATGATATCATCCTATAATGGGATCATCTGCTGTGTGAATATGATTTATGATGAAGACGTAGAAAACAGGTTCTGTGATCTCCAGATATGGATATGCAACCCTTGTACAAGGGAGACTCTCCTTCTTCCCCAAGGAACACCCTCGTTTGAGTTTGAGCCAAGCATTGGAGTGGCTTATGGCTCTGATGTCAGTGACTATAGGGTTTTCCGTATATTCTGCACTGGAAAGATAATTCCTGAAGAAAGGGGACCTGCGGAGGGATATTATTTTCAAGAAGGTCGGTATTTTACAAAATACAGTCACGTTTTAGCCTACGAATGCGAGGTTTATTCGTCCAGCACGGGTTCTTGGAAAAACATCGGCCCCGTGCCTTGTGTTCCTATGAGTTGTGGTCTTAGGCCATTCAGAAGAACTGGTCATATATTTGTCAATGGGAAAGTGTATTGGCTTGTTTCTTTAGATGGGCCTGGTAAGATCCTCTCAGTAGATTTGGAAGGGAGATTCGAGGTCATAAACTTGCCTGCATATCCAGATGGACTAAGAGAGGAAGAGAAGATCACAGAGGCAAGTCATTTGGTAAACCTGAAAGGTTCTCTCGGGTTGCTTGTTATACACCCAGATAACATGGATCTATGGGTTTGGAAACACGACGGCCAGAAATATAGTTGGGATATTGAATTGAGCGATGATGTTCCAATAAAAAATGACGAATTGATTATAGCCGTAACTGCATTCGATAACAAGATCATATGTGTGAATGATACACATTGGCGTGTATATGATATGGAGACTAAAAAGTGGAAGAGAAGAAGGGGCCCTCGTACTGGATTTTGTAATCCTGCTATGTTCCCATTCACCGAAAGCGTTCTTCCATGTAAGTCGTGTTTATTTATATATATGTATGGATACAATGTTTCTTCTTTTGCTAGCTTTCTAATCCGCTTTGGTATGTTGTTTGCTGAATCAGGTAATGGCGGTGTGAAGCAGTAGAAGGAAACAGCAACAGTGTCGATGTTCTTTGATGGGATGCAGAGAATGTTGAATCTGAGAGGTTATGTGTTTCTCTTAGGAACTTTCATATTGGTTTCGGTTTTAAGACTTTTTTTTTGCTTGTGTCAGTTTTTGTCTCTCTTTTTTCAATTTCAACTTGGTTTATGCAGTTTCATATTTTAAGACTTCATTGATACTAAATAAGTTGTGGTTGCTTCGTCTCTCAACAAAGTTTTAATGTTATAAAAACCATTAATGTTCTTATGCTTTGATTCTGATTCACCTGTTGTTATTTGATATGTAGAGTGCTGATTTTGAGTTCTGCTTTTTTTTTTTTTCTGCTATTATACGATTTTGTGTTTTTTTACCTCACTGCATCAAATTATATCATATTAAACCTGTTAGTTTAGTTTGAAGAATGCAAATTTAGTCTAGGGCAATATATACACACTTCTTAGTACTAATATCTGATCCATGTACAGTACTTTGATTTTCTTTACTGAACAATCTGAACTACCCAAAATACATCAGAAAAAAAAAACAAAGAAAACAAGGGCTATCCAAAATACATCAAATTATATTTTTCCAAATATAGGTTAATTTTCAACTATCAAAATTAAAATATTATCTCTAATTATGTTTGGAAAAATATACAGTATGTAGAAAAAGAAAAATATAAGTTTTTGTAAGAGGCTTTCAACTATCAAAATTAAGATATTATCTCTAATTATCTATATTTGAAAAAAAAATCTCTCAAGATTCATGAACTTTAGTTAAATTTGTTTGCATAGATGCATGTATCATTGAAGTGATTACTTTTACAGAAAAAATATATGCATTTAAAAAAAAACTAATAAAACTAATGGACTCACTATTGCATTTTTTTTTGTGGAAACAAAAAAAAAACAGAGCTAGTGAATGGTATATTAGCAAACCAGTCCTAAGCCTTAGAGCATCTCCAATGGACAAAATATTGGTTTCTCTTCAAAGGTTCTCTTCAAAAAGAATTTTAAAAATAAATGAAAATCAAAGAGAAACAGCTCTCTTGTGAGAGGTTTTGGGTTGCAAGAGAACCGATGACGTGGCAGCATCTCATTGGCCGATTTTTTGAGAAAAGAAAAAAAAAACGCAAGAAAAAAAAGAATCTCACGCGAAAAAAAAAAAAAAGCTCTTTCTCTCCAGCGACGGCGATGGCGAAATGGTTCGATTTTCTCCGGCGATTGAGGCAGACGGCGACGATTGAGGGAAGAATTGAGTGGTTAGGCCGGGAATGAGATTCTGATGATGCAATTATGATTGATGTCTTCTTCTTCCTCTTCTTCTCTGCATAATTTTGAATTCTTAGTTTTTAATCTTTAATCTAACTATTGACATAATAAACGAAAACGATCTGTTTAAGCACGATTGGAGAAAAAGATCAAAGGCACAAGTGCTTCAATACGTCTTCCTGAAATGGACGTTAGCTTGTCTTGTTGGTCTTTTCACTGGTTTAATCGCTACTCTCATCAACTTAGCTGTTGAAAACATCGCCGGCTACAAGCTTTTAGCCGTTGGTCACTTTCTCACTCAAGAAAGGTAATCAGCCAAATCGAAAACATTCAGGATTAGAAAAAATTAGTAACCTTTTTTAAGTGTATGATGAATGATAATGTTTCTGGTGGAAACAGATATGTTACAGGTCTGATGGTGCTTGCTGGGGCCAATTTGGGACTGACGTTGGTGGCGTCTGTGCTTTGTATTTGGCTTGATTTATGGTAAATCAGGATTGGGCCAATTTGGGACTGACGTTGGTGGCGTCTGATGGTGCTTGCTGGGGCCAAATTGAGTCAGGATTGTTTCATTAGGGGTTTCATTGATATTTCCTTGTCATGATTGAATCAAACTGAGTCATAGAATGCTTGATTTATGGTAAATAGTTTCGTTCCATTTATCTCCAATGGATAAAAGATGAGGAATTTACTAGTTTTGGGATCATGGTTTTGATAACTGATCTAACTTGGCATGATAAAGAGTGGATGAGTTAATTGATTGAGAGAGTTTGATATTAGTGGTTTCTGGTTGTTGATTCGAGAGAATTTTGTGTTTTTGTTCTTCAGACTTTTGCTTGTGGTCAGCCATCTCTCACACAGGCTAAGCAAGAAAAGGCGAATAAGAAGAAGAAAAAGGATTGTCCTGAGACAAAGCGACCATCATCATCATACGTTTTGTGGTGTAAAGATCAATGAGCTGAAGTCAAGAAGCAAAACCCTGAGGCTGACTTCAAGGAGAAGGAGGCCATGAAGCTTCTGGAGGATGACCCTCTGAAGCCAAAACATCCCGTATATGCCTTCCTGGTTTATGCAAAGGAGAGGAGAGAACAAGGAGACATACCTGCAAAGCAATGGAGGAATACAAGAGGGCGAAGGAAGAAGAAGCCCTGAGTATAAATGGAGAACTGCAAGTGGAGAAGCCAAGAGGAGAAAGGCAGTGGAGAAGGCAAGTTCAATGTTGTGATATTGAAAAGGCTTTTCATGAGCAAAGTCAACAAAGCTCCTCTTTCGCCATCTAGGCTTGTGGAGTTCATGACTGGCAAGGTTCCATTTTGCTGAAACCCTCTCGCGCTGCTTCATTGATTCATTCAATCTCTATATTGTCAATGCTATGAAATTTGAACGTGCTTTATTTTGAATGTGTTTTTGATGTAGAAGACACCAAATCTGTCTTGTATAGGCTAAGTAGGAGACAAGACACTCAAATCAAAATATGTGTAGATCATGAATCTTTCATTTGCATTTGACAAGTTTTTGATGTGATTATGAACTATTGAAACACCAATTACACCAAACACCAATGACTCCAATTATTTTTTCCTAATTCATCAAATTACATCAAAACCAAACATCAAATTACATCAAAATCAAAATATTTTCAAAACAAAAAAAATTTTCTAAGAACCCACTAGAGAAACTACCACTGGACTAAGAAAATTTAAAAAAGAAAAACACAAGTTCTCATCTAAAATTTTCAAAAAAATATGTTTAAACAATTGGTGAGAGTCCCCCATGGGCTCTCACCATTGGAGATGCTCTAAGAGAACCCAAAAAAAAGCGTTACTTATATGAAACTAGAAAAAAGAAGTTGGAACTGACTTTATATATACAAAGGGATAAAAACGGTTAATACACATCAAACCAAAGCTACACTAATATACAAAATCTCTAATAAACATCAAAACAGAGGAAAAAGATGCAAGAAAAAAAGGCTATGGAAAATGAATATCACTCATCATTTAACAAATAGCCAAAAAGACGAGCCAATTCATCAAAACACAAATAATCGAAAAGCAAAGTTGGAAGAAGGTTAGTCGTCGCGGAGAAGAATCTGATATCTTCATTTTAATCCCATCCTCTTTGTTCTTGACTTTAGTGGCTCCATCCTCGTTGACTTCAAGATTCACACTAGCCTTTAATTTTTACCTCTTTGTTTTCCATGACATGACTTTGTATTTTACCTGCATCTTCAATTCCACACGAAAAATCGCCGAGCCATTAGGCAAAACCGCTTGAAAAACCGTCTGGTTGTTAAGAGGCAAGGCCTGTCCCCACTTCTTGGCCTTCTTCTCGTGTCCTTGATAGAATCTTGGCACTGTGTAGTTAGCCACATGGAAGAGAGGAGTTGTTGATACTTGTGGAGAAAGATAAGTGAAGGTCGTCGTAATAGATTCCTTGCCTAACGTTGATGTTCTTGAGACGAACCATGAAGTTGAGAGTGGTGTTGTCTGATGAATTGAGAGATTTGTTTAGGACAGGAATGTAAAAGTAATGGATTGAGCATCGAGGTATGTCGTGGACCAAAGTAGTAATCCAGAGAAAGAAAGCCAGAAGAAACGATACATAGACGACACCGAATAAGACTGTAAAAAACCATTCACATGCATCCTCTCGATCCATGGATTTTTTTTTGCTTTTTGATTATTCGAATTAGCTGATATTTCAAGTTAACTCGGTAAACACGACTTTTTAACAACAACAACAATAAGAGAACCAATTCAATAGACATTTAAAAACTAACAAAGATTACTTCCTCATCAAAGTTTTGAATTGTGACTTGAAATTAGAAAATTACTAGGCATGGTACAATAACCGGAACCAAATGGAAATAGTATAGTCTATCTTCTTTATTCTTATTTGTCTGGTTTGATATGTTTGTGTTGCTAATTTTGAGTTTGGTTTAGGTGCAAAACAACTTTGGTTAGTGCTTCTTCTGCTATATATAATATATAATAGTATATATCTGGTCCATACTCCATATTGAATTTTAGACAAAATAGTTTGGAAAAAACATGTTTTTTTTTTTGGGTTTTAAGGACTATGCCATAGACAGATACGAGTCGGGAAAAAAGAAAAAGAACACAAAATAATAGAAAGAAACGAGTAAAGGGAAAGAAAAAAAAAACGAGTAAAGGGGAAAGTTTAACCCAAAGAAAACCATATAAATTCGCATTAGAAAATCTCCCTAAAGTTTCTTGAATTAGTATATGGAACTAAAATAACTATGAATACTTTAGATTCACATTAGGAAGGATTTGGAATATCATAACTTTCTGGCAACTTTTAACTATAGTAATCGATGACAACTTTCACGATAATCGAAACAAAATGTTTTAAAAAATACTACCGCGTCTTTTATAAATATAAATCTGTGAAAAAGAAATATAGTTTTCATTTTCATGACCCTAACAAAATGATATTTGACAGACTAATTAACTGGCGACTATTCGCAAGGCAAAGTCATACTTAAATATTTAGCACTTACTCTATATTCTACAATATGCGGCTGGTTAATTATTGAACTTGAACGTTAAGATATTGTCGTGCTGACAAGAAAATGTAAGATAACAACCCCAAAATTTTGTATTATTGAATATCCAACCTTCTTCTATGGAGCATGTCATTTTTGTTGACTTGTTGTCGATCAATCTTATAAAAATATATCAATGGTTTACGGTTTCAATTTTGTGATAGAGTAGTAAATAAATTTGTTCGTTATTGCAATTATAATATCAACTTTTAGTAATTTTCTTTGGAATAATTGAATTAAAATCGTAAACTAATGTTCCCTTTAATTAGTTTGATCATTTATGGATTTTTTTAAAAGTTTCCTTTCCACATTTGAATGGTTATATTCACTGTTATATAATTATGTACTTCTCTTTGGTGGTATATATGTTCTTTGTTCCTTGGTGCATATAAAAAATGGATAAATGATTTTCAAATAGAATTTTGTTGATGGAAACTAATACATAGTTAAAACTTAAAACAAAAACAATAAGGGAATAAATTATGCAATGAAGAAAATGGAACTAGGACACAACAAAACTCATGAAAGAGTCAATAATCAAGATCAACAAAACCAAAAAAAAAAATGAAATCAACACCATTAATCAAAGTTAACGAATAGCGAAGAATAGGAGCAAATTCATCAAAACACAAATCGGAAAAGAGCTTCTTAATGGAAAAGGAGAATCAGATTTCTTCATCTTAATCCCTTTCTTTTGAGCTTTAACTCCATCACCGTTGACTTCAACATCAGCACCAACTTCAATCCCATAACTCTTAGTTTTCCAAAAAATAATCTTGAATCTCACTCGAGTCTTTAGATCCAACCTGAAAACCGCCGATCCATTAGGCAAAACCGCTCGTAAAACGGTCTGGTTGTTTAGCGGCTTTACTTGACCCCACTTCTTGGCCTTCTTCTTGTGTCCTTGATAAAACTTAGGCACTGTGTAGTTAGCAACTAAGACAAGAGCAGAGGAATTGATCTTGGTCGTGTTGATGGTGGAGAAATTAAGGTGGACATCGTCGTAGTAGATTCCTTGGTCTCTATTTGGATTGTCACAACGAACCATGAAATTTAGAGTGGTATTGTCTCGTGAATTTAGGTCTTTGCCGAGGGCAGGAATGTAAAAGTTTTGGATTGAGCATTTGGGTTTGTCGGCACGGAGACTAAGCCATAAGAAAAGAGAGGTGAGACCAGCTGTGAAGATGAAGCTTAAGCAGCAAGTACAACAGTTTCCACCACGTTCTGTGTCTCGATCTTGATTCATTTTTTTTTTGTTTTCAAGATTTTGGTATTTTTGTCTGAAATATGAAGAAGATGTTATAGATTATTTTTGGTTTGCTGATTGGTTGGTATTTCAAGTTGACTCAAAAGAGACGACTCAGTAGGACACACACGCACACACGCGTTTAGCCAAAAAAAAAAAAAAAAAACAGAAACAAATTGATGAACGTAATAACGAGGGATGTTCAATAACAGAAAACCGAATCTTATTACATTTTTCTTTTAATATTTTAATGAGAGAAACATACAGCCCCCTATACTAAAGAAAGAGAAATTCTAATAATGTTTTTGGAATTTCAAAGATCTAAAACTACGGTGAGATTATTTATTTATTTATTTTTTGGTCAGTGGCCTAGTGGCCAATTTATAGTCCCATATTAAATACAAAATTTTATTTATTATATGGTTTCATTTCATATCTTGTTGCCATACAAATACAAACAATTCCGATTTGAAATGGCCTGGCCCAAACCCTTTTGACTGAACCATACTATATAAAGAATCGGGTCGAGTTGGATGGGCTCTCATGCCTAAACCCTAATTAGTAACACTAATCAAAATTCAAATTTCAAAAGTAAATTTTTAATATATAACATATCAAGTCTTTGTATATATATATAACTGTAACATATCATGTTATGTCACAAATAATTGTGTATTTTAAAGTTTCATTATATGACATGAAACTAGAGACAAACACAAGCATAATCATATATTTAAATCATAAATCCATGAAAGAATTGAACATAAAATCTCAGTTTAAAGTATAAAATGTTAAAAACAATACAAATAAAAGCTCGATTGTCGATGAGAACATGGATGTGAAGAATATTTGATTAACAACACGTCTCATCACCTTCATCCTTTGAACGTAGATGAGTTCTTCAATATATTCATCGTATACATCATGAATTAGATCCTTATCTTTATGAATTAGATCTTCATCTTCATAAACGTCGAAAATTGGATCACCAATAATTTCTTTGTACTCTCGGTACAAATCTTCTGTAAAAGTAAACGGATATGCATTTGTGCAGAGACACCCAAGCGACATGATAATTAAAGAATCGATTCGGCTCTGATACCAATTGTTGCAGCGGGATAACTTACGAAAATAATCTTGAATATCAATGGATCTCAAGCAGGACAATAGTAGCTCGGAATTCTAGTGTTATCGGAGATTAATGAATTCACGATGAACAAAAACTTCGTTGCTTATGAATTTTTTTTTTATTTTATTAATCAAAAACAACCCAATAAAAAAAAGGACCTAAGAAGACTATTTATAATCAAAGCTTAAAACCCTAAATCCTAGAATATTCTAAAATAATATTAGTTAATTAAAGTGGTGTTATTCAATAATGGATTTTAATAGAATTGAAATCCAACACTAATCCAGTGTTATTCAACTAATGATTATAAATCTAACGTTAAAATCTGGTGTTATTAGATCTTATACTTCATTAGATTTTAAAAGTTTGGTGTTATTCAATGGTAGAGTTAAAATCAATTCTTTAAGGTTTGTAAAATCTTTGTATATTAAATCATTTCAAATGAAGCTTCTTTGGAGTTTCATGAGTAATTTATTAGAATCAAAATCCAAGATATACTGCAGAGATTTTGAAATCCACACAAACAGATTCTTAAAACCAATATCAGAAAGCAAATCTAAACCTTAAAGAATTGAATTTAACTCTACCATTCTGGAGCGGATCCAGAACATATTTTAACCCGGGGTACAATATTTTTTACATCAGAGTATAATTTTTTTTTTTCAAATTTATTTTACTTTCTTCTATATTTTGAAATATTTTCATTACTATCTCATATGTTATTATGACAATATTATGTTTTAACAAAATAAACTAAGCAATCATTTAAAATTTGTTTAGCCCAACGACACCTCATATTATATCTCATAACTAACTTTCTCACTTATTAGCAACTAAGCATTTATGTGGGCTGAGTACATATTTTCTTTTTTAATTGGTTAATATAGTATTTTTAATGTTGTTTTCTTGGTATTGTTAACGTGGACTATTGTAGTGTATAACAAAATTACTTGAAAAAATAAAGGAGTATAGGGCACTTGCCCACCCCACGTATGCCGTGGATCCGCCACTGCCACCATTGAATAACACCCCCTAAATATACAACATCTTCACACGTTTTCTTTCTCGTAAATAGACATTTTGTAAGAGATTTACATCTTATCACCCACATTAATTCCTGATATCACAACCAATATTGGCAATGAGCAATCCACTATATATTTAAACTTTGTTTGGAAAATTCAATCTAGAAATGTCAACGTAATTCGAACTACTTGATTATTGTATATTTAAAAAATTGTTATTGAATAAAAGGAAAAAGAAACTGAAATAATAGTTTGATAAATAAAAAAACTGAAAATCTACTAGCTTGATAATACTAAATCCATATTCGCTTTATTCATGAATACCCAAAAACTCTGAACTGAAACAGAGAACTAGTATATCCAAATTATTTTGGAATCCACCGAGTAAATCTAAGACGAGATATAGTTAAACTGCTTTGAATATCTCCTATATTGTTTAATTTTGTTTTTTTGTTGAATTGTTTAATCTACTGGATAGAGTAACTTTTAGACTTTCAAAAGTGTTATATATTATAATTGATTATTTAAACTTAATAAAAAGTTCAAAATTTGCGAATATATAAACATATAAATAGTTTAAAATAACAAGGGACATATCATACTACAAGACGAATTATATGGCGAAACGGGTTTGAATCGATATTAGTAAAAGTTTAAAATATTATTAACTTGATGCTTTAATACGGGTTAAATTTTTCATTTTATTATTTTTTAACACGATCAATATTAAACATGTCGAATCAAATTTATTTAGTTAAGATTATGTGAAACTAAAATTGTTATATAATATACCACATGTTAAATCCTTGTATTTTATGATAATGGAAAGGAAAGAAATTATACGATTATAGTGTGATAGAACAAAAGTATTGAAGATTCCTACCAATGTTCATCTAAAATTGTATCACATAGCGCATTGAATAGATTCGTTAGGAAAAATGATGTAGAAAATATTATTGCTTTATGTAATCGATGTCAACTTTCACAATAAACGAAATGTTTAAAAATACTACTGCGTCTTTTAAAACCATTATAAATCTGCTGTTTCATGAAAAGATA